TGGGAAGTGTCAAAAGAGAGCCTCCTAGGTAGGGTAGATAGCAATTATAGAGGATCTGAAGCATGAATGATATTATGTTGCAGGAGCTGCAGTAGCTAGAGTGTAGTGAACCAATGGCACAAGATGAGATACAGGCAGAAGCCAGATAATGTAGAACATTTTAGCTTGTAAGGAGATTTATTTAGTTCATTCTAAGTAATAGGCATGCAAAGATTTTAAACATGGGAGTGATATGATCCAATTCATATTTTAAGAAAAGTGATATTTGCAAACATCATTTGGAATAGGCAGAAGACCAGTTCGGAAACTGCCGTGATGGTCTGTATGGGAAATGATAATAAAAATATAGAAGAGGAAGATGAATTATAAAGAAAAAAAAAAAGAGCCCATGGCTGAGTTTTAAAGATTGTGGGTAGGGGACAAAAGCAGGAAGGGCAAGAGAGACTAAGAGCCTCTAGCAAGCTATATAAAAAAGGTAGTAAGAAATTATTATACCCTATAGAAGCTCAGTAAAGAGGATGTTCAAGAGACCTGGGGTTAATAACATATATTACAGAGAAGAAGAAAAACTGCAAAGATTATTAGTTTTAGTGGTGATTTAAGTTGTTGGTGACTTTTAAGCATTTCTTTTCGATCGTAGTCAGGGAAAGAAGCCACAGTTCAAGGTGATGTGAATAAAACATTAGTGAGGAAATGGAGATAATGTACAAAGAGGTTTCCGAAGCTTTAGAAAGTTGTATAGTTACCTGCTAATTCATAGTGCAAACAGCTACCAATTTCTTACCCTCACTGTGGCTGTTTGGCTCTTGTCTGTGACTTATGGCTTGTTATGCTTTCAAATTTTATTATTTGGCTTGGCTGTCATATCTCAAAGGGAATTCCAATTAAATTTTAACTGTTTTGAGTTTACCATGTCTAAATAGATGATTCAAAATTATAAACTAACAAAATTAATGTCATTGGACACTGTAAGGTTGGGTTATTCTTCAACACTAAGGATTTTTATACAGAGTAGGGGAATGTTTCTGTACTTGATAAGTTCTCTCTCCTCATTTTCTACACAACTAAATTTTCTTCATAAGTAAAAGAAAATACATTTAGTTCATAGACAAACTTGTCATTCCTTTTATCAAATGTGAAAAAGTATAAAATTCTAGAATCATAAAAATAGAAACTTAGTTGTTTTATTGAGTGGGAAGCTTTTTTCCTTTTATTTGGATCAAGGAGTATAAATGGAAGAGCTGAAGCTATTTCATGTGGCTTTCCTAAGACAGGCTGAACTTCATGTGTTTTTCCTAAGACAATTAAAATGTTAAAACCAAAAAATGATTGCATTAAGATATCCATACATCATATTATACAGGATGATTTTAGTATAGAATAAAAAGGACAGGATTTTATTATGTCTTTTCCTTCTCATTGATATTGCCCATTTTTTTAATAATATAACTTCTAAGGCTTAATCTCTTGTAATTTATACCTAAGTCTGTCTCTATAATCCCCGTATCTTTTAGCCTTTAACATAAATAAGTATACAGAGAAAGGGGGAGAGAGGCAGACAGATAGAATTAAGCTATTCAAATCAGTGTCAAATTTCTATCTTTAAAAATATATAGGAATGAATTCGATAAGAAAAGTACCAAATCAGTGTGAAGAAAACCATAGCATTTTGCTAATTTGACATTAGATAAGATCTCAAAAATAAAGAGCTATGCTATGTACCTGACTGAAAATATTACAAAAATGTCCATTCTTTCCGTGTAGTATATAATTTTTTTTTTTTTTTTTCCAATACCAATGCAAGAAGTGCCTGAGTGGCTCAGTCAGTTGAGCACTCAACTCTGGATTCTGCCTCCGGTCATGACCCTGGGGTCATGGGGTCAAACCACGCGTCAGGCTCCACACTGAGCATGGAGCATACTTGGGATTCTCTCTCCCTCTGCCCCACTCATGCTCTCTCGCTCTCTCTCTCTCTGTGTCTCTCAAATAAGAAAATAAAATAAAATACCAGTTTGAATCTCAGTGGGTTTCTGCAAGTTCTTCAAGATGAGATGAGAGGAGGAACTAAGCAAAATGATTTCATATAAAATGTTTTCTTTTGTTTAAAAGGATAGTGCTTAAGAGCACAGACCCAGGAATCAGACTACCTGAGTCCATGTCTTGACTCCACTACTACCTGAGTACTTTGAAAGTTACTTAACTCTGTGGCTCATTTTCCCTATCAGTAAAGTGTGAAGATATTAGTTCTATCTCTTGGAATTGTGTTGAAGATAAAACAAGTTAACAAACAAATCACTTACAACAGTGCCTTACTCATAATAAGTGCTTAATTAGGAGTGTGTGGGTGGCTCAGTCAGTTAAGTGTCCAACTTCAGCTCAGGTCATGATCTCGCGGTTCACAGTTAGAGCACTGCTTCAGGCTCTCTGCTCATAGCTCAGAGCCTGGGGCCTGCTTCGGATTCTGTGTCTCCCTCCCCCACTCATGCTCTTGTCTTTCTCTCTAAAAAATAAACATTAAAAAATTTTTTTTCAGTGCTTAATT